ATCAGCCAGAAGATTCGATCTAATAAAACAGACTTAAGTTGTGATCTTTTTGGGATGTAAAATGCATGCAGAAGGAAATGTTTCCAAATTAACAGCAACTTTATTTTTCATTTCCCTCTCAGCCCTACTGCTTGAAAAGCATTATTTTAACTCCCCACCAGGAAGAAGCGAGTGTGCTCTCACCTTGGACGTTCAGAGTAAATATCAACAAGACATTACGTCTTCAGCAAAGCTGGACAGTGTCACTAAATGCCTTGGAGAAAGATACCCTGATAAAGCTAATGTTTCAGTGTCAAAAATGATGACTCACCATGTTCCCATCTCTGACAGCACATTCATTTAAAAGGGCATACAGTATACTTATTAAAAGTACATTCAGATGTGTTTGTGCACCATTCCCTCAGGTTTTCCTTTTTGCTATCTGCCTTCTCAGAGTAATACTACAGGGATGTTATGAACTCATCAAGCTAGACCCGAAATGTCACATCTGCTGCTGTAACACGATGTACCTTCAACTTTGTCTGAGGTCACTGGAAAGCCCTGCGGGGAAACAAGAAGGCGGCACCCCCTCAATTTTTAAGAGGAGTGACTCCGAGACGGGATAACCATCAGTGGAGATCAGATAAAATACCATTTCAACCCTGAAAGGCTTCTATTCATGCTAGAAAAGGAGGGGCCTGACAGTTAAACCACAGAGATCCAGCCTTTCTCATGGTAATTGATGAGAGGTGAAAACAACACTCACTTCTTGACCTGTGCTGAACTCTAATTACTCTTGATTTAATTACACTCAAAGGCCATCGCTAGATTGGAAACAAATGATTCCACTCTCATAGAACAAAATAAGTGGAACGTTTTTACATGAAAAACCACAAATGTAATTAATCATTTACGGGATTTGATCAAAATGTACAATAATAAACATTTAGTACACCATAAAACCATTACACTTCTGATGGTTGTGTCCGTGGATTCCTGATGACAAAATAGAGCTTAGAGCAGGATTTTGTTCCAGCTGCATTTTCTAAGAAAACAGATGCACTGATATGAAATTTTGGTCGATACAGATATCCGGTATTCATATCACTATTAAGGCCAACAACCAATATTTGACAACACAGATATAAATATATTCACACGCTGACATTTATGCTTCAGCAGATTTTGTATAGACTGAAAATCATGCAAGCTTGATTGTTGAATGTCTTGTTTTGTTTTATTTCTATAAAGTGCAAACTGGATTATATATGTTATTATATACACATTACCATCATCGTCACAAGATTAAACAACTACACATCATCGCCCCTCACGCTCTGAAACAGATACAAGCTGGAAAAAACATCAGCCCAGTTTTTATTGGACCGATATTTTAAAAAAGGACTAACATTGGCTGATACTGATATTGATGCCGATATATCGTGCATCCCCATATATGAGTCTATATAGAGGCAGTTATTTGGTTTACTTGTTGTGTTTGGAAAGAAGATCAGACTACAACATGGAATCATCTCGTGAAAACTGGTCTTTAGAAATGATTCTGCACTTTCTGATTCAAGTGTATATGCGGCTTTTGATCATGTGTGCAATAAGATTATTAAATGTTTTTGAGTAATATCAACTAAAATAATATAATTGTGATATAAACAAAATTACACGATGAAACTACATCTAGATTTGCGTGTTTTGGCTTTCTAATAAATAAAATAAACAATGTTTAGGAATGAGCAGATATTTAATCTATATTTTGTTTAATCACAATGTTTAATCGTCTTGAATTTTAACAAATCAGTTCAACCCAACCCAGCTTCTATAGCCTCAAACATATGAGCATTAAACCCCTTCAGGAGGTGTTTTATATTTTAAACTGTGACATGTTGATCCCTGCACTAGTTTTACTGAGTAAACGGGACTGAAACTTCACGTCTCAGCAGTTGATTCGTTCAATAAAGGTCAGATAAAAGACAGAAGAAGCTCCTCACGTGTCCCGTGTGATAAGCAGGAAAAAAGACCCTCGGGAGGACTGATTTAACCTTACTGGCTCTTTGAATGGCCAGACTTTATCAACAAAACAGCTCAATGCGAAACAACCTTAGGCCACCTGATGAAAACCTGAAGCTGCAATCGTGCGGAGAATTTTAACAAAGGCTTTCGCGCTGCAGGTGCTCACAGTTCCTGTTCCCAGATAAAGCTCCAGCCACCGTGGGAACGAGACGAGGCGGTTAGGAGGGGCACCAGGCCGGGGTTACAGAGAATACTTCCCGGTGAAAACACACCTCGTCTGACTGTAGCGTCCTGTTCAGGAGCGGGAGACGTTAGCAAAATAAACTTACAGTGATGGTAACTTCTTGCTTTTTCAATCGATACTTGAGGCTCTTCATATTGTTGGTGACTCCTGGGGTCAACAGTATCCTTTGGTCGCAAAGTTTCCACCACACCAGGACACTAACTTTTCTAAAAGTTTCGTCCAAGTATTTAGTTATGTTTCTCCTGCCGTCACAATCCGAGTTTCACCTGACGCTTAACCGCAAACTATCACACTTTGATTGGCAGGATGTCAGCCAATCAGAGTGGAGCATACACCGTGGGTCGGTTGATTGAACCAATGGGATAACAAAGTGGGCGGGACTTCCGCGACAGATTCGCAGGGAACTGGGAGCTGGGAAAACCCTCAGGATTCGGGTTCACCTGACCACAGCGGGAATCATTTTTAACAGGAGAAGAAATAGAAATAAAAACAATACAGATAGATCTTTTTTAATTTACAGCTCCTAAAGCATGAAACGAATATCATGTATTTAGTAGTATTTATTTAAAAATTAAAAAAAATCTGATAACTGTTTTTATCTTTCTGTTGACATATGTTATTTGTTGTAATGTCGTAAAACCTGAAAAGCAGCCAGGACCAAAACCTGATTCTTTAATAGTATTTCGCTGGTGATGTGCCCTGATGTGGCCCTAAAGTTCCCAGGCCTTCAGAGACCATGTAACCCTCTCAGGCTCAAAATAAGTTTTGATAAAAGGACTAACAACTAAGTCCTTCAGGGGTACTTCTGTGTTTAAAAATACTCATGAAATACGTATGTGGAGTAACCAGGTAGGTAGGTTGCAACGCCTGTCTCCAGGGGGTTAAAATGAATGCACAAAACCTTTTATCTATTTCACCATCGTCTGAGAGGAATTCAAATCTGAAACAGGATTGTTTAAAAATGACCTCATGATCCGTAGTCATGTGCAGAGTCTTATCCTTGTCCAAAGTAGAGTTAAATATTTGAGGGGCTGTCTTATCTCTGCTGGTTTTTATTGCTAAATGGGGAATTTTTGAGACTGTTGTTGCTTTCACCTCAGTAAAAGAGTGTGTTTTATAGCTACTGTCAGCAATAAAACAAGCAGACACAAACAAACTAATCAAAAACCACACCAACAGATCAATCTCGCTCAGTAGTAATTATACTGATAAAATCGCATTTATTAACTTTAAGTGACATTAGTAACATATTTTTGTGTATTTCTATCTAAAGTACTGACTTGTAATTTAGGCATATTCTGATCCATTTCACTGAAATTATACACAGAAATAAAATGTATTGAAAAAGTGATTTAATAGCACTATGAGGCCGTGCATTCATACTGACTTTGAGCATATTACTGTATCAGTTAACAGCTTTTTGGGCCTCAGATTGAATGATTCACTGTTATTTTTTATTATTATTATTATTTTTATTCCTGATTAAACTAAAAACAGAAGTTCAATTTAGTTTTTTTGAAACAATAAATAAGAAGGGTGAAATGCTGTCCCCTTGTGGTATGTAAGACAACTAAACTACTGTACTGATAAATAAAATAACATTGAGTTAAACTTTTATGAACAGGTCTATATACAGTATTTTAATCAGGCATGCACAATGATAACTAAACCAAAGAAATGTCTCTGTTAGCACAGCTAATTTACACTCACACATGAAAGAATAAACCTTTGTATTTGTACATTGCAGCATTTCTCTTCATGCCTAATTGCCTCACCCTGTGTGCTTACTTGAAGAAATATTTAACTAAACGCTTCATGCATTTCAACTTGTCTCTTCCTTTGTCCATGTCCTCATGGCAACAGCATTGCCCTGGAGATGAAACCATGGCGACCGTTTCACCTCTGCACTTCTGAACTAAAGGCTCACAAAAAGGTCTGCGTAGGACGGTGAATTACTGATTTTTTTTTACCACCAGGACGTTTCTGTCGGGTCCAGACATGTGGGAATGACTGACCCGGTGTGTGTTTGTCCAACAACCAAAAGGTCAGCGTTTGTCTAAACACAACTTTGCATGTTTAAGTTTGTTCTTGTTACTGACTAACAGTGTTTTAGATGAATTATATTACAATTCAGACTGAAAACCTCATTAAGTCCTATTTCTGACACACTTGCCAGACTGGAGTTGCTGTGTTAGATGGATGTTTACAGCAACTGGGCAGCCCCCGGTAGATCCTCCCCTGAAATAAACATAACATTTTGGATGTAAAATTGTGAATCATAAGCATCAAGTTTTAAAATATTCACCAATTTGCCAGAAGTTCTGTAATATAATAATAATGGCAAAGAACAATCAATTATTTAAAGATTAAAAACTTACGAGTGAGGAATTAAATTAAGCTCACCCATAGTTATTTTATTAACAGTTTCAACTATATTTAGGCACAAGTATTAGGTAATCCAGACTTTTAAACTCAGCACTTTTATGGCTTTAGATACAATGAAATGGAAAAATTGGCCTAAATATTTTCAAATGAAAAGCATCGTGCTGCTTTAAACAGTTCTACCCTGGTTCTAATTGCTTGATCATTTTGACTCCAGCTGTCATGGGTGGTGACAGTAAGGAACCAGACTCACTGTTTACAGTTTAAAAATTCATTCACAATCACTTATTGATAAGAACATAGGGTCTGTAGAGTATTTATGTAGTGTTTTATGTGCTCTGACAGTCCTAAATAATCCAGGAAACTTAGATTAACATTTAAACGTTTATTGTCTCAACATAAATAATGAGGCTTACATTCATGACTTAAACACACAGAACATTTTTAATGAACTCCCATGTACATGAAAGATGGATGTGATAGCTCACTGTCATGCCAGATGAAAAAGAAGAGCATAAGTCTTTGATGTTTTAAGTGCTCACAGGCAGCAGGAAGTAACTGACGGTCTATTAATATTAATCGGTGAGCCACATTTAGTTAAATCCATCTTTAAAAACAATAAAAACAACAAATCCTTTACAAGCTGTCAACCAGAAAATCAATAAAAGATAAAAAGATGAGTAGAAACATATTTTCCAAATGGATACAAATGCACAAAGTACAAAAAATATGTAATAACGGTTTTCTAACCATGAGGCAGAATAAAGATTAATAATTACACACATGCAATAGTAACTAGCACCACGGCTGGAGCACGCTAGAACACTATAAAGCTGCTTGTCAAAACGATGAACTGTTTTTTTCCTCTTTTCAAACAAAGTGGTATAAAAATGAAAAGGCTGAGAATAAGGGAGACAAACCATTAAAAAACGGTTTTATTGTTTTTGTTTGTCTCTTCACTGTGACAAGTTCCTAAGATCTTTCTGGGGTGAAACAGGACAGTTCAAGTGAAAAAAGCTCCTCCAGGTCTGCACTGGGATCACAGGAAAGGTTGTTTTTACTGGAGGCCTGACAGGCAGTGCCGTGGTGTGCTCAGAGCCCTCACACGGCTTTACGGTGGTACTCTGGGGGTGCGACCTCATAGTCGGTGGCACTGAAAAGGGTGGCTGAGTTCTTCACCAGGTACCTGAAGATGAAGTGAAACGGTGTCACTGTGGAACGAGATGGAAAGGGCTGCTGGAGACAGCTTACAGAAACAATTTTATTCAGCTAAATTGTGAAAAAATAAATTAAGTCAGAGAATTGAGTGAATGACTTGTTTAAAGATGTGGTTCACTGAAAAACCGTTTTCTAATTCTTATTTCTGTTTATAATCAGTCATTCTGAGTTTTTTTATGTAGAACTCAATGCACTGATAAGCAGGTTCAATAGGAATGTTTTCTTTGTAAAGTGCCTTGAGACGACTTTTGCTGAGATTTGGCTCTGTATAAATGAAATGGATTCATTTACCCAGAATCTAAAAGTTAAAAGGGCATCAGCAGCACAGGATCGGTTTTAGAGGAAAAAAGGAAAACTGTTTTAAATGTTATGATTTAAATAATAAATCAACCTTCTTGTTTAATGAGACCAATAATCAGTTTTATATTCTTATATTCGTATATATTACACCTGATCTGACATGAATCATCTATAAATCCAGGCATTCTTTCTGAAGCACCAATACAACCGACCGTTCCTGCCTGCACTCATACGATGCTGCATGTTGTCCATCAGAGCAAAAACACTTTCTGGAGCAGGAAATCGATTTCATGGTTTCTGTTTTAAAGCATTTTCAGCAAGCGTGGCTGCACTAATGTGAAAGTGGAAGAAACGGGTCATTTGAGAATCAACGGAACATGTCACAGAGTCTCTGGTGGCTTACTTTAGGAAATCCTGGAGGTAACTGAGCAGCAGAGCCAGACTCTTCTCGTCAAGTAGCGTGTAGGCCAGCATGGCGCCGATCCGGACTGTTCATGCAGGACAGAACACGTAGAAAAGGAAAGAAAAAAGTCCAGATTAAAATGAAGATACAGCTTATTTAAGTCTAAAATGTTACCAACAGTTTAAACCAAGCATTCCAGGAAAACCCGTATTTAAACATCTTAGTAAAAGACGCTGTTTAAAAAAAGAAAAAAAGTTGAAAAACACAACAAAATAAAAAAATCTTGCTCAAAAGTCTAATCACTCATCAATGTGCTAATATATATATATATAATTTTTTTCTGCTTTAGTTAAATGTACAGGCATGGACATTAATTGTTGGTACTCTTTGGTCAATGAAAGAAAAACCCACAATGGTCACAGAAATAACTGGAATCTGACAAAAGTAATAATAAATAAAAATTATATGAAATGTAACCAATGAAAGACAGACATTGCTTTTCAACCATGCTTCAAATGAATTATATAAAAAAAAATAACTCATGGAACAGGCCTGGACAAAAATGATGGTGCCTCTAACTTAATAATTTGTTGAACAACATTTTGAGGCAATCACTGCATTCAAGTGATTTCTGTAACTGTCAATAGCCAATTTTACAAAACAATGCCGTCAATTTGCCGCAGCGCCTTAGCGGCATCAGAGAGCCTTAGGTCGTTTATAAGTGGTCAGACCGTTGCAGTAATGTAGCGCAATCATGTCCTTTTTTATAAAAGATTAGGCGATGGCAGCATGAAGGGGTTATGGGGGCGATTGAAGCCGCGATCCTTAAGATTTTTAAACAAGCCACTTCAAAAGGTGTCTGTCCCCATCAGTTCCTGTGCAGTCTCTGGTGATCTGAGCTCCAGCTATAACTGAGATAAGCCCCAGGAGTGCTGCAGTGCTCCAGTTTGCTGTCTCAGCTGATTTTGTTCAAAAAGCTAAACTTACGGTACGTGCTTACTTTTGTTTTCAATATAGTTGCCAGCCAGAGTTCGGGAGTAACTCCCCACATCATCATGACACCTCCCTCTGGTACGCCAAGACGCAATTGCCATTTATAAGACAGTCAATTACAGCAATATTACTACCAAGCGAGGCAGAAAAAATGCCACAAAATTCAAGCAACACCATGGCGGCATGGCGCGTTTATTAAGACACACCGCTGCTGTAATATCACACATATTTGCCAGCCTGGTGTGTCTTGTAAAAAGGGTTAATGAGACTTCTGCACCTACAGCAAGTATTTTGGCCCACTCCTCATAAGCAAACTGCTCCAGTTGATTTTTCAACAATGGCGTTCTCCTTCATTGTCTCCCACTTTGGCTCAAACAACGATGAATGGTGCGATCCGACACTGATGTTTCTTGAGCTTGAAGTTCATCTCGGAGCTCTTTACACATTTTCCTGGGCTCTTATGCTACCATTGGGATTATTTCTAGTGTTCATTGTTCAAGATCATTTCGATTCCATAAAACATATTTTCTTCTTTTACAAAATCCAAACAGATTCAGTAAATTAATGCACTCCACATTCTCAGTAACTCACAAACTTATGATGAAAAATACCATTTAAAGTGTTTTTCACAAATTGCGATATAATTTAAGGTTTGCCAGCAGTCATTTAGTTAAGCTGCTAATTTTTTTTTTGCATTTTTAAGAACAAACTTAAGAAGACTGCTAATAATACACAATTCATCCATTGATTATCAGGGTTACTTGTGTATAATGTGGTGTAGTTAAATAGTTGGGTGTTGTGTCCAACACCTACCAAACAGACGCAGCAGGTGTGGTGCTCCATACACTTGGGACATGGGCATGTCGGGGTGTTCAGCCAAGGTCTCTGCATACTGAGGTCTCTCAAACTTGTAAAGCAGCTGAGTGCCCAGCATGACGTTGAAGTACTCCCGAATCCCTGCAACCACTTCATTTACAGCGTACTCCCTGTGAAAATACAGCTGATCATCAATCTCCAGTATTATCCTGAAATATGATGAAAAGTGCTGATTTTGCAGCTGAAAATCACAGATTTTTTTCCATTATTTTAAAGAAGAAAAATCTCCAGTGACCTCCATGTTTTTCTTATAAGAAAAGAGATTTATGATTCTAATTGGATCACAGAGTCTCTACACAGAGGGATGTTTTAGTCATTTTAAATGGACTCTAAGGAAGTTTGAAAGTCAAAACATGTAGAGAAATAATAAATTTCTTCTTCATACATTCTCCTGCAATGCCCTGGCCCTGTAGAATGAGCCCTGGCATTTTTACTGATTGCCTGTTTTTCTGTAAAATCACAGAAAAAGAGAGATGCTCGGGTCGAACAGGCTGCTTCATGCACGTTCACGCTCAGGCATAGCCCGTAGCATTTGCTATCCGTAGCATTAGCAGCAGAGAGAGAGGCAGTGCCAACTCAGCGACTTTGTCGCTGTTCCTAACGCCTAGTGACAAACCTAGCTACATTTCTGAGGATCCTTAGCTACTTTCTGTAGAACTTTCTTCTAGATATTTCCTGCAAATTAGCAACAAAATAGCCATTTTCGCTACGAACCGTACTTTGGCTTAACGTTGTTTCAGCTGTTAACAAGGATATAAACGTTATAGATAGCTTCTGCATCACTGGCGCTTTAGCTCACCTAGTAAGATGTCTGACTTTCAAGCAGAATATCTGGGTTTGATTCCTGGTGTGAACATAATTTGTTATTTGGAGTTTTTTTTTTACATTAATGATATTTTTTTTACAATAATAAGATGCCCAAATTTTTATTTGAGACTCGCCAAAAGGCACTGAATTCACAGAGAAAAAAGATGCGGGTTCAACTTTCATTTTGGAACTATTTTTCAAGCAAGGGAAGGGAATGATCTGAGCATGCAGGAGGACTGAACCATCGTAAACCTTTGTCGGCTGTGCTGAAGAGAAAGGTACAGAACCAAATTAATTAATTAGCTGTGCGTTCTCCTGTCCTCTGTCCCCCGGGCCACCCACCCACCCCCACCACACCCACACACAGCAAGTTCGGCCGGCCAACGAGAAAGTGCAGCTGCAGAGACAGAGCCCCATTGTTTTTATTAATTTGCTGTGTTCTTCTGTCCTCCAGGCCACACACACACACACAAGAGACTGTCTCAGCTGTTATTTTCGTTAAGGAGTGTGCACATACACCATGCGCACCTCATGCACGACCTTACTTTTGAAGCTGCAGTTACGCGTTAGGCCTGAGTGGCGATCGCGAGCATAACAACTTCAAACTTCCTTAGAGTCCCTTTAAAGTGTGACTTTGTGTTATAACCAATCACTATCTTACCCGTTATAGAGACAAATTTCTGTAACCATTTTGGTGTTGGACAAATAAAGTTATCTATTCTATTCTTCTCTTCATAGAGCTGTAGACATTAGCGAAACGTGACTGCAACAGAACTGATCAATGTTAGATAATATTAGTTACATCAGACCCCCATTTTAAGCCTTTTGCAATTTTTCCTTTAGCAGTTTGGCTATACTGGTCTAGTATAATGTATATCTATAATTATGTAGTATAATATATCTATGGTGGTGTAGTCTGTGTATATACTGGTGTATTATATACTGGTGTAGTATATGTCTGTAATGGTGTGGAATATGTCTATACTGGTCTAGTATATGTCTATACTTATGTAGTATAATATATCTATGCTGGTGTAGTCTATGTATATGCTGGTGTAATATATACTGGTGTAGTATATGTCTATGCTGGTGTAGTATATGTCTGTGTTACATCCCGACATGTGTTGGTAAAAATGTGAAGGATGGGGGTAACATAAGAACTGGCGGCGGAGTTTAAAATGGGTTTATTTGTACAAAAAGGTATTAAAAACACAAGCAAAACTGATTTCTCTAAAAGGTTAACATTACACCTATAAAACACCTGGTAAAAACTTATATTAAAAGTTTTACCGCAACAAAGGTGTTTTAAAATCCTGAAGTTGATAAAAGGCTAAAAACATTCTAATGACTAAAAACATCTGGTAAAAACTTATTTTAAAAGCTGCACAACGGAAGGTGTTTAAAACCGAGGTCAGTAAAATAGCCACAGACAAAGTTAACCTTAAAACCCAAACACACAAAAGATCCCACTGGATCATCCTCAACTTCTGACTAAGAGTTAAAACCAACCAAAGTTTAAAACTCAAACAAATTCAAACGAAAAGGGGTTGAAACTACACAAAACCTGGAGAACAGCAGAACCCCTGCACTGCTGCCTCTCAGACTGCTGAAGGCACAGCCTTTTTATACAGGTGTTGGTGATCAGGGAGATTCAGCTCAGCTGTGCTCCTCAGCAGCCTGGGAGAGAGGAGAATGAGGGGCGTTGTCAGGCTGATTCACCAGAGCTGGGTGATCCTGGCTCCTGCTCTTCCCTGGCCAGACTGGCAACCGTAACAGTCTGTACTGATGTAGTATATGTCTGTACTGGTGTAGTATATGTCTGTACTGGTGTAGTATATGTCTATGCAGTGTAGTATATGTCTGTACTGGTGTAGTATATGTCTATGCTGGTGAAGTTATATGTCTGTGCTGGTGTAGTATATGTCTGTACTGGTGTAGTATATGTCTATGCTGATGTAGTATATGTCTGTACTGATGTAGTATATGTCTATATTGGTGTAGTATATGTCTATGATGGTGTAGTATGTCTGTACTGATGTAGTATATGTCTATACTGGTGTAGTATATGTCTATGCTGTGTAGTATAAGTCTATGCTGTGAAGTATATGTCTGTATTGGTCTACAATATGTCTATACTGGTGTAGTATATGTTTATGCTGGTGTAGTATATGTCTGTATTGGTCTACAGTATGTCTATACTGGTGTAGTATATGTTTATGCTGGTGTAGTATACGTCTGGACTGATGTAGTATATGTCTATGCTGGTGTAGTATATGTCTATTCCACAAAAATAAACAATAATGAACAAGAGTCTGCTTCTAGACCTGCAGAAAGAGAAAGAAGAGAAAAAAGAAAATGGGACACACAACAATTCAACGGGAGCAAGTTATCACTGCGTCAACTTGAAGAAATATACAATCAACATTGTTTAACTGAACAATCACACGATAATAAATCATAGTGCATTTAGTGGCAACGACAGCCTTAAGGCATGTGTTGAACGTGCCCAAGCCCATACTTTTGAGAGCACCATGTGAGCACCTGTGTGTGTACATGCGCTTGTTTATGTAAGGTTTCTCTATAAAAGCGTCCAATAGAGAGTGTGAGGGGCCACAGATGTGCAGGAGACAGAGGGGGCTCCAAGCCCCAGAGATCCAGGTGCTGCCCCAGAACACTGGAATCCCAAGGAGACTGCAACCAGAAAGGCCCCTGCCCCCTCAAGAGGCGCAGAGGATTGCCCCGGGGGGCCACAACCAGCAGCCGGCAGAGTCCCGGGAGATATCAGCGGCAAGCCCACAGGCTCGCCCGCAGCCTCCCACCCCCTAGCCGGCCGAGCCCAGGACCCAGCGACCCGGGACCCAGCAGAGCCCAGGGACCAAGACCCCACCAGGCAGCCACGGGGATTGATCAGGCAGACGCCAAAAATCTTAAACCCCCTGACCCGGGAGCCACGAACATTCAGACCCACCAAGGCACCGCACTTCACACCAGGTGTGGCAGGGGGAGGGGAGACGAAGATCTATATCATCAAAGGAAGTCCCAAGAGAAGGGAGGAGTCAACGGCCCTACCTGACATAAACAGTCATACACAAACACAGTCATACACTCCCTCCCTCATGCTCACACACACATACAACCAGAGACCTAAAAAATGTACGCTGGACACCCATTCATGCTCCCCATACACACCCTATTCACTCTGGTCCAGGTACTGCTGCACATGGGGTACAACCATTACCGGTTCCCAGAGTATGACCCTATCTGCTGGGGTGCTGATGAGCAGGCTCCCCTGCCCAACGCTGAGCACAGCAACCCACCACCCCAGACCCCGACCAGACGGCCAGATCTCCCTCCTAGCCTCCAGCCCCAGGAAGCCAAGCAACAACAGAAGTCTGCTAAGACCCCTAGTCTCCCTCCACCTGCTCCAATATAGTGTTAGTGTGTGTTGATGAGGTGTATTCCATGGCTGAGGTGAGCGGGCAGTGTGGGCTTTGTCGGGCCTATGCCAGCTGATGCCACCACACCACCCACCTTGCACCCACAGCCCTCGGTGTCTAAGTGCAGTTTAAAATTGGAAGTGGGCACCAGCACTCGGCATGAGGCAGAGAAATCCCCCTGCCAACTGCCGTTGAATGTGCTCACTCCCAAGGCCCTAAGTGTGTGTTTGCGTGGAATGTCGTTGGTGGAAGTGTTTAAGGTGCAAATAAAATTGGGGGCAGGTTGCCACAGGAATGCAGAAATGGGGTCCATACCCACACTCCCTGACTTGTCCACCCCCAAGGTCCTTTCTGCATGTTTGTGTGATGATGTGAGGGAGCAGGAGGAGAAAAATATGTGGGGATGGGGAAGATGGCTGGTTGGGCTTAGCCCTCCAGGGAGCCAGCTCCCCCACTGGCCCTAATAGGTGCCTCTGTTGTCAAAATGCTAACCAGGGCATGGAGACCCCAGCCCATCTTGCCAGGGCCCAAAGCAGCAGCATTGCAGAGCCTCACGGAGTCCGAGGGCACCAACCCAGCAGAATATCTACACCCATCCCTGCATTTGTACAACTTCGAGAATATATAAGACATAGGACACCCAGGTAAGGTTGGGTCCTCCCCCTCCTGGACCTCCCCCTCCCCTGCGATGGGACAGCAGAGGAGCCAAGGTCTACCCGAGGCCCCTGAACCCGGGCCAGGCACTGCTGCATGTTCCTGCCTTCTTCCCGGCAGCATACATGTCAGGACCCGACCCCCAAGGCCCCACCCAGATCCCCACACGGGGCCAGCCACCCCCACACCCCCAGCCCCCCACCCAGGGGCAATGCAGCTGCCAGGCAGCGACCCATGGCCGCCGCCAAGACCTCCAAGGGGCCCCACTCACAACCGCCAGCAGTCCACCCCCCCCCCCCCCCCCCCCCCCCCCCCGAGGCAACCCAAGCACCTCCAGAGCGGGGCAACAGCCCCCCAGTCCCAGACACCCCCAGTGAACCCACCTCCAAGGAACGTCCGGATACTCCAAACTCAGACCCTCCACCCCCTCACCCGCATCATCCTGCAGGACAATATCATTGGTCCCCCATTATCGCTATGTGATGGAACCGATCAAAGGAGCCCAGAGAGATTGATTTGAAGTGGAAGCAGAGGCTATATCAAGTGTAATATGATCTAACAAAAGATTTCTATACTGGTTAATGCAGAGAGTATCTCTATTTTTCCAATTCAAGAGGATAGTTTTCTTAGTGATGCATATGGCAGTCAGAACCACGTGAGCCAAAGATGTTTCAATCGGGACATCGTCCAGGTTTCCCAGCAAACAAAGAGAGGGGGAAGTTGGGATATGACATGTCAGACACTTCGACAGATCTTCACATACTCTACCCCAAAATTCCTGGACAGGTGGACAGGACCACAGTGTGTGAATGTAATTGTCAGGAATGTTTGTGCAGTGTGTACAGGTGTCAGATGACACAAACCCCATCTTGAACATCCGATGACCTGTATAGTGTACTCTGTGTAGAATTTTGTACTGAAGTAATTGTAAATTGGGGTGTCTGATCATTTTAAAAGTTTTAAACAAGTTTGGGACCGGAAGTTCTGGTCAAAGCTGACTGATAGATCCACCTCCCATTTTTCAACAGGGATTGCTATTCTATCGTCTATTTTGGACAGTGTCTTATATACTTTAGACAGTAGTTTGGGGGGTTTCAGATGATAGAAGTCAAATACCCTTGGTGGTGTTTGTAATTCAATTTAATTGAGCTTAAATTTTTGTTTGACTACAGATTTAATTTGGTGGTATTCTAAAAAGCTATTCTTATCTATTCCAAATTGGGAGACTATTATATTAAATGGGATGAAGTCCAATCCTTCATATATTTGTTCCAGGTATATGATTCCTTTATTTTTCCAGTCCGGAAGGTTAATCATTTTGTTATTTTGCAAAATATCAGGATTGTTCCAGATAGGTGTGCGTCTGCATGGTATTAGTGAAGACGCTGTCATTTTTAGATACTCCCACCATGCTGTTAGAGAAGTGCTGATATTAATACTTTTGAAGCCTTCATGTTTTCTTATGCTTGAGCTAATAAATGGTAAGTCTGAAAGCTCTATCGTATTGCAAAGTGTCTGTTCTATATCTAACCAGGACTCATCTAGTGGGTTATCTTGCAACCATCTTGGTATATATTGCAGCCTGTTGGCTAAGAAATAATAATAAAAGTTGGGTAGATCCAGTCCTCCTCTGTCTTTGGTCTTCTGAAGCGTTTTTAAGCTAATTCGTGGAGGTTTATCCTGCCAAAAGAATTTAGTAATTGAGGAGTCCAGATATTTAAACCAGTCAGCTGGTGGTTTGTTTGGGATAATCAAGAATAAGTAATTTATTCTGGGTAAGACAATCATTTTAATTGTAGCAACCCTCCCCATGAGTGAAATCGGTAAGGATTTCCATCTTGCAAGATCATCTTCCACTTTCTTTAAAAGTGGGATGTAGTTTAGTTTGGTTATATCTGCCAGCTTGGGAGAGACATTAATTCCCAGGTCTGTGATATTCCCTGACTCCAATTGTGTATTAAGCAAATTGACAAATGAGAAATTAATTGGTAGAACTGTGGATTTTAACCAGTTTATAGAGTAATCTGAAACTCTTGAAAAAGAGTTTATCAGTTCTATTGCTTGGGAGAGAGAGGACTGAGAATTCTGGAGAAAGAGTACAAAGACTGAGCTTATGTTCTATTTTCTTACACACTATCCCTTTAATATCTGTTGTTTGCCTAATTGCTGCCACTAGTGGTTCGATAAAAATAGTAAACAGTGAGGGGGAGAGTGGGCATCCCTGCCTGGTCGCCCTCTGAAGACAGAAGCTAGCTGATAGTTGGTTGTTTGTCCTGACACGTGCTGTTGGTGAATTGTATAATGTTTGTAGCCAGTTTATGAAGAAGTTCCCAAAACCAAATTTATGTAAAGTTGCAAATAAGAACTTCCAGTTAACTCTATCAAAAGCCTTTTCTGCATCTAGAGATAATATACTAGTTTCTATGTTTCTACTGTAAGAGAAATCTATCAAATTAAAGGGACTTTACAGAGTTTTGAATTTTTATGCTCGCGATTGCCAAAAGCGTAACGGCAGCTTCAATAGGAGGCTTGTGCACGAGGCGTGCATGCTGTACGTGCACACTCCTTAACAAAAATAACAGCTGAGACGAAACTCACAGAGCTCTGAGAGCTGACAGTCCCTTGTGTGTGTGTGTGTGTGGCCCGGAGGACAGAGGACAGGAGAACAAGCAGCTAATTAATTAAATAATTTGGTTCTGTACCTTTCTCTTCAGCACAGCCGACAAAGGTTTATGATGGGTCAGTTCTCCTGCATGCTCAGATCATTCCATTCCCTTGCTTTAAAAATTGTTCCAAAATGAAAGTTGAACCCACATCTTTTTTATCTGTGAATTGAATGCCATTCGGTGAGTCTCAAATAAAAATTTGGGCATCTTACTGTAAAAAAATATATCATTTTGTAAAAAAAAAAAAACCTCTGAAACAACAATGTTCACATCCAGAATTGAACCTGGGTCTTCTGCACGAAAGCCCAAAATCTTACAAGGCGAGCTAAATCACCACTGATGTCTTTTGTATCTGTAACATTTATATCCTTGATGACAGCTGAAACAACGTTCAAATAATGGTTCGGAGGGCTATGCCTGAGCGTGAACGCGCATGAAGCAGCCTGCTCGACCCGAGCAGCTCTATTTTTCTTTGATTTTACAGAAAAATAGGCAATCACAATAAAAATGCCAGGGCTCATTCTACAGGACCAGGGCACTGCAGGAGAATGTATTAAGAAGAAATGTATTATTTCTATACATGTTTTGGCTGTCAAACTTCCATAATACCCCTTTAAGTAATCTACACGAGTTTGTGGATGACTGTCTACACTTAATGAAACAAGTTTGGTCAGGGTGTATTATAAAGGGGGTTACCTTCTCTAATCTTTTTGCCAGGGCTTTACAAATTATTGTGAGATCAACATTAATAAGAGAAATTTGGAGATAGCTGGTTGTCATGGTCTGTGTCTCTTTGTGTTCCTCTTGTGTCCCCTGGTCTTCAGCCCTCCAGATATTCCCTCTCAGGTCCTGTGCTCCTTCAGTCTCCCCACCATAATTTCCATAGGTCTATTATTCCAGTTTTGTGTGTGTGTTTATGTCCCCCTCCAGCTAGGTGTGTGTGTGTGTGTGTGTGTGTGTGTGTGTGTGTGTGTGTGTGTGTGTGTGTGTGTACGTGTTGCTGCGGTGTGGAAAGAAAAAGAAGAAGCTAATTGTGCCATGCAGATGTAAAGATCCAGAAGCAGATAAAACAGGGAAAGGAAGGAATTATAAAGGTTAAGAAAAGGAAAAAAGAAGGAAGAAAGAAAAGAAAGTGTTGTGGGTGTGAGGTGGTGAAGGAACAGGTGAACATTTCTAGATGGATCTAGCAGCTATAAATCCTGACATGTTCAAACCCAGTGAGTGCTGTTAATAATAATAAAGTTGTACTTGATGTTGTCTAATAAAGCCAGTCTGTTACTCCTCGTTCTTTGTAGATCTTACTGTCCACGAACAGTTTATCTACGGAGATCACAGCCAGCTTCCCATCCTGGATGAACTTCTTACGCAGCGGGAAGAGAACTTGGCGGTGATCCAGAATTTCCTTAGGAAAATGATCAACACTGTAGTCTTTACCTTTAAGCTCCCTCCCACGGCTTTTAACAAGATCTTTCTGCTTAAAGTGCTCAAATTTAGCCATGATGGGACGAGGTCTTCTGCTGTCTGTTCTCCTGGCTCCAAGGCGATGTACCCGATGAAAGGTGATGTTTTTAACCGTTTCCTCAGGTATCTTCATGTGGGTGTGGAGAAAGTTATCGATGGTTTGTTCGCAATCCTCCGCTTCTCCTCCAGTCTGCTCTAGAAGGCCTACGAACACCAGGTTGTCTATCACACTGCGTGATTGGAGATCTAGAACCGTCTCCTTTAGAGCTTTGTTGTCCTGGGAGATCAGATCAAATCCTGCAGTCAAGGAGGAAACCGATTCCCGCAGAGACGTGTTCTCAGCCACGAGCCGCTCCACCTGCTCCTGGCTAAACTCCAGAGATGTTTGGAGGTCCTGGAACTCCTTGTGAAGCACTTCTAGCAGATGCAGTCGCCCCTCAAATCCCAGAAGCCATTTATCTATGGATTGTAGTAAATCTAGGACATCCTTACGGGGAGATGAGGCCTCGGGCAAGTCCTGGGGACGGCTCCTCTTGGTCCCAGGTGTTTCCGTCTCAGCTGCTGATTTCTTCGGTCCCATGACAAAAAACTCAAAAACTTTGTCAATATATGTTTGCAAACTTTCTAAATTTTCTCCACTTACCTCCTGGTTGAGTGTGTTATATTTACCAGATTTTTTTTTTTTTTGCGTTGTCAGTGAATAAATTAGGCGAAAATGCATCTTAATTGTTTGTGGAAGTTGGTTAACGAGCTGCCATCTGCTTCAAACGCTGCCGTGTGTCCGGCGATCGGCCGTCAGTGCAAGCTCAGTCGGTCTGATAAATAATTTCTAAGCTGAGTATAAATACTTGTGAGGTTGTTGCTGCACACACTACCACTGCAAAGTAGATACATGATTGTTAAATTGATCAGTCATAGTACATGGCCTCTGTTTTGAGATTTAGCATTTATATCCTGCAGGACAGATAAGCTACCAGCTAGTCTAAGTGCAGCCAAGGTCAAAGTGATTTGATGCCCTTTTGTAAAACGTTATTTTATGAACCTTTACAATGCTGCTACTTTTGCATTACCTGACCAATTACATCAAAGTCTTTGGTTATTTACAAGCCTAAATATCACCAGCAGCAAAAATGTAGGACTTCCGGTACATCTAGAGAGAATGTCCTGCAGGAATAGCTTAATATTCAAATACGCAATCATAGGAATGTGCATCTAATACAGTTGCATGACCTGCTGTGTAATTTAGGACTTAGGAGCTGTTTCAAATTGTAAACATCGGTTGTGAAACCAACTGGATAGTGTATAGGAGCTAAAACGGTGACGAGATTGACCAAATGAACCCAACTTCCATGTTCATGGCTGCCATTTTAAAGGAGCTCCAATCAAAAAGAAGTTCACAGCCATGCATGTGAACATTATTTTAGAAATGTTTGCACCACCATCAGTTTTGCATCACATGGTTGTTTCAGGAAAGTGCTCCATTAGTTTGGCGTCTGGGTTACGTTTCCGGGAGCCGCTGGAACAATTAGCTACTGTTGATATTTTCCATTACAGATATCTGAAAAGTGATTTTCAGTGACAGGTGGAAACAATAACAAAAAGACCCTGGAAATGCTGTTCTAGTGCACTTGTGCAGGATGTATATTTACAGTTGAGGCAACTGCGCGTGATGTGCTCAAGAAGCCTCATCCTGTGTAAAATGCTCCAAAGAGCTTTAACGTTGCTCGTAAATCCTTCCACAGAAGGAAACCGAGCAGACTAATGTGGAAAACACGTTTTATGACAGGTAAAGGCGGACACACGCAGTGAAGCTGGACGTTATTGTGACATTTCTATTATTTGACATTCAGAGAACATAAAGGGGTGTTTCTCACTTGTTGTCAGAGTTTCCTTTTGATTTCTTGTAGTTTGCATAGTCCTCCAAGACCATCTCCACACTCTTCTTGGCCGGCAAATGAAACAACTGTTGGGAACAAGGGAACATCTTAATGGTTTGATGGTCAAGTTCATGCATAACTACAGTATGTATTCATGCTTTACTTGAATCATAAATGTAAAAATGTGCTCCTATTTTAATTTTAATATACACAGTTATTGTAAAGGCAAGAAGATTTTAGTTAACAGTATGTAAAATAACTAAATCTGTTTATACTTGGCCAGAACAGGGAAGCATAATCACAGACACGTGACACATTATGTTGGTATTTATTTTTAATAAAGATGAAATTCAGAATAAAAATGAAAAAAGAAAAAAAAGACATATTAAATTCAGAGGACTGTAGGATGTGTCCTCTGTATGACCTCTTCATTTGTCTCTCCTTCACCCATTCCGATCTGAGTGGTTGGACTCATTTTCTAGTTGCATGAGCCAGAGTGGACCGAGCTCCAGCTGACAGGAAGAGCAGCTCCCTTTTTGACTTTGGTGAAAAGTGGTAGTGCTCTGGCCCTGTAGTCGCACAAAAATCATCCCCCCTGGGATGAGGCGTTTGAGCCCACATCTCCACTCCGGCCTCAAAAGGCTCAAGATCTGTACAGATGAAATTCAGCTAACCTCAGCTGTTCATTTTTCTGAGAACAGACAGGCTTGTTTCTGGTGACCTGTGCAAGCCGTACTCAGTCCATCTGTCTCCAGCTTTACTGTCAGGATGAAATGAGCTACCTGGGACCAGTAGAGTCTGAGATGGAGCTCCAAGGACTTCCCGAATCATTGCAGTCTGACCTCAAAGTAGCCTTTGACTAAGAGATCGGAGTTCAAATCCCGGTCGGGTCATACCAAAGACTTTATAAAAATGGGGCACAATGCCTCCATGCTTGATACTCAGCTTTAAGGAGTTGGATTGGGGGGTTAAATCACCAAATAGTTCCTGAGCGTGGCCGTGTCTGCAGCTCACTGCTCCCCACAGGGATGGGTCAAATGCGGAGGACAATCTTCATCACACCAGTGTGTGTGTGTGTGTGAACAATGACACCTTAAAGAGCAAGTCACCCCCAAATTAACTTATTTTGCTGATAAACTATATAAATGAGCGTCTAATCGTGCTGTAGACACATGTAGTCAGTAATTTGGCAATTTAGTGCATTTTAGTTAAAATTTAAATATTCTGCCTGGAACTGTGAGTGTTGCATCCTCTTCAGGTAAAAACTCTGCACTGCATTTGAATTTATATCTGCCATCGCTATTGGCTAAAAGGTACACTATGACGGTAGCTGGTACATTATGATGTCACAATGTCTTTAAGAGCCTGTGTGTGTGTGTGTGTGTGTGTGTGTGTGTGTGTGTGTGTGTGTGTGTGTGTGTTAGCGGCTCCGCCCTATTAGTCTGCCAAGCAACAGCATTTGTTGCATTTTTCAAACACAATGTGGGAGTGGAGTAAGACTCTGGTAGGGGGTGACTTGCTCTTTAAAGTTTAAAGAGAACCCACTTCCCTCCTAGCAAGACTGATAGCTGTTCTGATCAGACCTTCTGGGTTTGTAGTAGACCAGTAACAGGTGGGTTAACGGGGTCTGGGCTGAACTTAGAGGAAGTTCTGCTTTCGTCTAACAGAACAAATGAAACCGTTGTTAGTAACAAGATTGTGTCCTGCTGCGGACAACCACCATATCTCTACCCTCACATTTAAGTGAGATTAACCATTAAAGCACCTGATAAGAAGCATCTTCACTTAAATGTTTCAGATACAGAATTCCTCCAGAGCAAGACTGGACATGATGTGTTACTTTTTGAGGTCTTTTAGCCTTCATGTTGTCTGCCAGGATCTACTGAAGTTAATAAAGTTAATTATTAATTCTACAGATCTGACATTAATGATAAATGACTCACACTTGTATAGCACCTTTCAGAGTCAGAGGACTCCAAAGTGCTTTACTCTACAGTGTCATTCATCCATTCACACACACACACATTCACACATTGGTGATGAGCTACATGGTAGCCACAGCTGCCCTGGGGCATCTGTAAAGGAGCCAATACTGTGCAGCTCCTATGTATGGAAGCCCATTAGACCCATCCCATCCCAGTTTAACCCTCCAATCCAACCCCTTAAAGCTGTCCCATTTTTAAAGTCTTTGGTATGACCCGACCAGGATTTGAGCCCATGACCTCCCAGTCTCAGAGCGGACACTCATTTCACTAGGCCACTGAGAAAGTTACCCTGATTTTTTTTAAACATAGCTGAAACATGATGCGTTTCCTCAACACTGTGACTGTGGATATTTTTGTGCTCTTTACTCTGCATCATCTTCTCCTGTCTGATTAGTGTTGTGCTCAAATTCTAAAGTGAGTGAAATTAGAAAAACTCAGCTGTGATCGGTTTGCTTTCAGAAAACACAACCTTGAGCTAGGGATGCACCGATGGATCGGCATTTGATCCCAATCGGCCGATAGCGCCCCTATCGGTTTTGATCGGAGTTTTCAAAATAGATCAAAGCAGACCATTTTAGATTAGGTTACATTTCCTTTATTCCCAGATTATGTAGTTTGTAGCACTCATAATGTTGTAGAAAATTTCTGGCCAATCCATGCGATCGGTATCGGTGATCAGCATTCTTTGATATCGGTATCGGTGATCGGCAGCAAAAAACCTGATCGGTGCATCCCTACCTTGAGCAGATTTTCACACTAATTGTCTCGCTGGTTCCTCTTATCACTGAGTGTAAAACTTTTTAATCAGTTTATTCATCTCTGGTAGACTTTTGTTTACTGTGGAGCCGGTTTTCCTCCAGAGGACATGAAACGTTGTTTTTCTCTTCCCACCTGTTTCTGTCGTGTGATGAGGTCCCAGTCATCCACCAGCCAGGGCTTCAGCTCCTCAGGGATCCTCACCTTCACCTCCACACGGTTGGTGAACATCTCCTCCTAGACACGCACACAAATGGGAGGGGGGGTTCAACAGCTATAAAGAGAATTATAGTGGAATCATTTTTGGGAATTAAAGCAAATGAAAGAAAATGCTACTGTTTAAATCTGACTTCCAGCCTGTAATTAGTGAATTTTTATTTGGGACAAACAAACTTCTCATTTTTAGCTAAACTGAACTGAAATGTGGTGGTGCGGGTTAGGGGAAAATAACAAAACGTCCCTATTGCGGATCAAACCAGGAACAGTTTCTACAATCTTCACGGTCACTTTTTAACCAGAATACCTAAATAATAAAATAATCTATTGATGCCTCCTTAAATAAATGAGATTGGCTAAATGCTGCTTGTTGCTAAACAACAACACGGGTTAACTGATCAAGTGTGAGAACTTCAGTAAGGGGTTGGGGAGCTGTTTGCTGGTTTGAAGCCTCTGGGTGCACTCAGTTTAAATAGCATCACTAATAATGCTGCCACAGATCCATCTGTAAAAGGATAAAAACATCATTTCCATCAAATCCATCATTCTAGTGTGAGTGGGACTCTGGAAGCAGCTGTGAACATTTCCCAGTGAATAGTTGCCCAGCCCATAATCAGGAGCTGAGCTCTAACGGACCCTAGAGGGTTAACATTTGTCCAACATAGTACAGCGCTACATGATTATCAGGATTTAGGATAAAGTGTAATTGCTGTGACACAAATAGGTCATTTCAAAACGAGAATTTAACCAACGAGTGCAACTTAAAGCACAACGAGCACATGAAGCCTCCTGAATCAAACACCATGTGCAACTGGAGGACATGATAAAACACTTACTGGTGTTTTAACTTGTGTCACAGAAGAGAGAAGAGGCTTCATCAGGGATGAATTCACCTGCTGAAGCTTAATCGGGGCTAAAGACAAAATAATAGCCAGGACAAAAATGACTAAATGTCTGAGA